CTGGCGTCACCCGTTTATCTTCCGTGTCCCAGTTCTCACTGGGACCTGCCGCTTTTCCTCCCTATTCACTTTTTTTAATGGGAGATCTTACTCGCAGCGTCTCCTCGCCGCCATGTTGCTCCGCCCCCTTATTAATTATTTTCTATAAATGTACACAATTAAAAATACTTACTCCTGGACTAATCACAAATTAGGCAATTTCACTTTGGAACAAAATGAAGTTGATGAATAAACCTCCCCAATGCTGCTCTGTACCTAGAGCAAGTCTATTCTGGACTAGTTCTATGAGTTTCTGGTTGTGGGCATGGGTAGGTTGAGGAGGAGGCTTTTGCTAAATACACACTGTATTTGCCCACCTGGTTCTGTTTGCTTTGGAGCACTTATCATTCTCTGAAACTACTTATCATTTGCTTACTTGTTTACTATCTGTCTCCTCCACTAAACTGTAAGCTCCATGATGGAAGGGACGTTGTCTTCATCACTGCTGTACCTCCATCACCTAGAATGGTGACTGGTACATAGTAGGTGCTCAATAACCACTACTAAAATGAATACATTGGTGAAAAGAATGAACAATCAAATTAACGAAGGGATGTTGCCTCCAAGATTGAAACCTATATGAGTTGCAAGAATTTCAGGTAAATGTGATCATGAACTTCTCTCATCCAACTGTGGAAGGCAATTTTCTGTCTGATTTAGGATCTAGAATCTGAACTGTCTGGTTAAGGAGATGACTTTCCATTTCCCAAAGTAAATGAAAAATTTAGTACTTTCCCTAATTATCACTGTAACAGATTTCTGTCAAATTATCCTAATGGTTTTAGAGCTTGTAAAATTTTTGGTCTTTTCATTCACATAATTTCAGCTATTTAAATAACTTATTTGACCAAGCCCCTTGTTTTTTTTTTTTTTTTTAAGATTTTTATTTATTTATTTATTTATTTATTTATTTATTTATTTATTTATTTATTTATACAAGCACTGGGTACAGTCAGAAGCGCAGGAGGGTGAGAGAATTCACCAGAGCCAGAGCGGGGAGCAGAGCAGGCAGAAGGACCGAAGTACACTGCTGAGGGGAGCAGCGGGCGGCAGGAGAGGTCTGCACGCCATGCGGGACCCTCCTCCGGTGGCCGGGGAGCAGCCGGGGATCGAACCGGTGCTGCAGAGGCTGCGGGCAGCTTCGCAACCCAGCGCTCAACCGCTGCGCCACTGGGGAGGCCCCCAAGCCCCTTGTTGTCAAGCAAATTTGAGTGTTGTGATCAGCTAGTTTCACCTCATATTTCTTCAGAAGAATTAGGTGAAAAGCTCAAAATCTATGTGTCTTGGGACAATTTCCAAAGATCTGCCCATTGATCTATACAGATAGTTCCTCCAAGCAACTAAGACTTGGGAAGCAGAGCTTTCATATTGCTGTTGGTGTTGATGATATTATTAGTTTTATCAGATCATGTAATTGTCAGTATGAGAAATCTCTTGAGTCCACTGGCATTGTGGGGCTTTCTCCTCTCAAGGGCCATGTTAAATTGTCTCTTAAAAACTCAATGTAGGGGCCTCCCTGGTGGCGTAGCAGTTGAGCGCTGGGTTGCGAGGCTGCCCGCAGCCTCTGCAGCACCGGTTCGATCCCTGGCCACGGGTCGAGGGTCCCACATGGCAAGCAGACCTCTCCTGCTGCCCGCTGCTACCCTCAGCAGTGTACTTCGGTCCTTCTGCCTGCTCTGCTCTCCCCTCTGGCTCTGGTGAATTCTCTCACCCTCTCGCGCTTCTGACTGTACCCAGTGCTTGTATAAATAAATAAATCTTTAAAAAAAAAAAAAAACCTCAATGTAGGGCCTCCCTGGTGGCGCAAGGGATTAAGCACTGCACTATGAAGCAATCCACTGCCTCTGCAGCACAAGTTCAATCCCTGGGAGGCCAGGGAGAAACCCACATGGTGCTGCAGACCTCTCCTGACTCGCCTACTGTTCCCCTTAGCAGTGTATTGCAGTCAGTCTGCCTGTTCTGTTCCCCACTTTGTCTCTGGTGGATCCTCTCACCCCCTGCATCTCTGGCCTTTACTGCAGCTCTTGTGTGCATAAATAAATAAATCTTTAAAAAAAAAAAACTCAATGTATATTAAGTACAGTCTCTACATCATTGCTACTCAAACTGTGGTACATAGACCACTGGTATCTCCTGAGAGTTTGTTAGAAATGGAGAATCTCAGCACTTTCCACCAACCCCCAAGCCCCTGCTCCTTACCCGGATCTATTGAATGTGCATTTTAACAAGGTCCTGGAATGATTTATATGGACATAAAAGTATGAGAAGTGCTTACAATAACATGTATGCCCTTTCTTTAATATGAAAACTCGGGCTTTGGAAGATTTGGCAGCTTCTATTAATAGTAGAATTTGGAAGTTAAATCCATTCCTGACACCTTTCACCTAGACTTTTGTTATTAATGACCCCATATATAGATAGCTATTCTCCAGAGACATTGCCAACTTACACTCATCTCTATATCCTATCACAACTATGGCACAGTGAGTACTTCATTCAAAGCCTCATGATCCATCTTTTTCATAAATATAGCATGATGACTGCTGCCATTTATTAAATCCAATTATCAGGCTCTTCATAGGCACTACAAATGCATGCCCTCATTTCATCCTCCAACCCATTCTACGACATAAGTATCATCCTCACTTTACAGATCAGAAGATTTGGTAAGAATGCTATGTTCATTTTCTCCACATTTTGTTCTTTCCAGCCTCCCAACGATCCTGTTACCACAAGTCTATTTTCCTCCTCTCCTTTTGCAAACTTCCAAATGGTCATCTTCAAAGTTTACATTTCTCATGAGGTCTTTTGTTGATCTCTGCCTGGCTCTCAGTCACTCTATTTGCTCATTTATTCAACATACAGTGAGTTCCTAGGTCAGGGACATCAGACCATTGTGACTCAGTGCTCATCCTTCCTCCAGAAGCTCAGAGGACCTAGCTGTAAACACAGGATAAGGGGGTACACAGCCTGCTATGGAGCACTGACAAAGGGTGTCTCTGTCTCACCAACGACACCAGTGCCCTTTTCATCTTCCATCTTCCTCCCTAGTGGCATAAGGTTTAATTGCTTGTCATTGCACCCCTCAAGTTCTGTGGGTTTTATAAAGCCTGTACCATTTGAACTTAAATATAGTCAAGGGTTGCTGCATCTCCTAGGTAGATTTATAATCTTTCTTCTCTACTCTCCCAAAAACTGAAAGCAGAGTGAGCGTTCTATTTACTGAGAAGGGGATAAGGAATATGGATGGCTAGATTTTCTGTTCTATTTCCTGTATAACCACGGCTGCTTGGGAAAATATGAATTATGTCTCTACCAACTTACATTTTGCTCCTCAAGCAACCTTTTTTTTTTTAATAGAGGCATGTTTTATTTATTTATTTGTTTGTTTGTTTGTTTTGTTTATACATGCACTGGGTACAGCCAGAAGAGCGGGAGGGTAAGAGAATTCACCAGAGCCAGAGCGGGGAGCAGAACAGGCAGAAGGACCGAAGTACACTGCTGAGGGGAGCAGCGGGCGGCAGGAGAGGTCTGCGCACCATGTGGGACCCTCCTCCGGTGGCTGGGGATCGAACCGGCGCCTCAGAGGCAGCGGGCAGCTTCGCAACCCAGCGCTCAACCGCTGCGCCACCGGGGAGGCCCTCCTCAAGCAACTTAATTCCAATACAGGAAGAGCACTAGATGGAATACAACTTATCAGAACGCCATGCTTCTGAGTAGAAATAATACCCTGTGAGTTTGTTCCTCTGAATAGCTTGGTATGATCTCATCAGACCTTCTAGAATTTGGTTTGTACAGCAGGTATACTGTGATAATCTGTGAATTTGTATTTTAAAGATATTTTACATAAACAACTCAAACTGTTTATTCAAGTCTAGATATCATGGTGGATTAAGGTACAGTTTCTCTTTATAAACCGTGAATTATCTCTCTGAATAAATCTCCAGTAAGAAGCAGACTGATAGTTGTGTTTTCCTCACCTGGCTATTTGAGCAGAGCTGAGAGACTGAATGTTTGAAACTTCCAGCTATTGTCCAAAATCAAACAGTACTTTTCTGTGTCCCTCTCTGAGTGAATCCTTAAATCTATTTCTAAAGTCTACTGGTAAAAGATATCAGCTTTGATATAGGGGGTGTATTTTCCTTAACCATTCACTTTCAGAATAAGTTTATTCTGGTAGAAAAGATACAAACCTGGGAACCAGAAACACTAGGAAGGGGATTTTCAGCTCCTTGCACCACTATTTGACAGACACTAATTCCTAGGCTGCTTCTCTCCGCTAGCCAAATATGCCTGGAGTGAGAAAGAGCATTTTAACCCTTGCTTGCTGAGGATAATTCACTGAGTCTCTTTTACAGCAAAGCCAGATCTCTGATGGCTTATGCCTGAAGGGCAATCAGAAGGATGCAATCTTGAGGTCGTGCTCCTAGATTTACAGAGGTGTGTCCAGCTGTGGGCAGAGGCCAGGTCATCCAGGCCTAAATACTTCAGACTAACAAATATAAACCAGATTTAACAGAATGTGGCTTTCAGTGGAAAAATCTACTTTCCTCTGTGGTAAAAACTGAGAAGGAAGAAGGGATCTCTGTGTTCTATTTAGGGGGAGGGTTTCCAATCTAGTTTTCCTCCCCCCCCACCCCGAACACATAGCAACAGTGTTAACTTAGCAATGCAAGGAGATCACAGGGATAAATGTCAACCAGTAAAATGGTGACAAAGCAAACTTGGAGAAGGGAGGCACATCGGGGAGAAAAAAGCCATCTGTTCTAGATCCAAAATGGTTTCATTCTTTCAGCTGAACTTTTCATAAAGTTAGGACTCATAACTCTTAAGCATCAATTCAAAATATGTCTATAGATTTTTGCAACAACCAAAAATAATATATTTTAAATGCTATAAGAAATGCTTTTGTGAATTATAAAGATATAAAGTATACCTTAACACAAAACAAGGTAGTATTACTTTTATTAATAATGATAAAACAAATGAGGGATAAATGAAGAAGTTGACACAGTATGATGAATTTATGTGAGCCCTCAGAAAACTTGAGAAAGTAAATTCCAGCCGTTAAAAATGTATAGCAACATGCCAAACATTCTACTATAAAATAAAATGAAAAAAGTTGTGTCCACTGACATAGCTGTCCTTTGGGCAGGCACTTATAAAAATGCATATAGAAAAATTAACAGGGATATATTTTGAACAAAAACTCTAACTGAAACCTTAAAACAGAAAAATAGAACAAAGCTATTTAATTTGGAGCCCCTGTGCTGGATTAACATCCTCAGCAGCACTATTCACAGACCCAAGCCTAGGGTGATTCAAGAGGTGGTACTGCTAGACCTGCCATTGCCCTGACAACTCCTAGTTCAATAACTTAACCAGCAGGATATAAATCTAACACGTAGGGCCCAGACTCAAAGAACTTTTCTGCTCTAGCTTCCCAAGGTAATTTGCAAGAGAATAGTAGAGTCAGAAGGCCTGGAGAGTTTCTGGGGCAGGACAGCACAAGGCTAGCAGAGCAACAAAACCATCCACATGACCTAGTATTGCTCCATTCTGTGTCACAACTGGGGACACCAAGGCACCAGAAGATTGTGTAATGAACTCAAATGTTCTACCCCTGTCCCCATTGGTGTTAGCACCTGGACATGTGTGAGGTTTTCTTTCTATATTGACTTCACGGATATATTTCCATGGGGAATACACAGGGGCCACTCACACTGATCTTAGTTCAGATCATGATAAAGACACTGCATAATACCCTAAGGGCTAAGGATATGCTGATCTCACAACAATATAAATGCTTGAGTTAACAAACTGTGGCATCATTTATAAAAGCTATTAAAAACTGGGTAATTTAATCTAAAATTAAAATTTTAGTTTACCTTACCTAGATTTGGAAAATAGAAGCAGTTAAGTTTCTTAGGAGTTAAATGGGTTAAAATGGTTCTGGAGTGGTTCAAATTGAAAAGGGCAGGCATATACATGGATTCTGCCACAGCAGAGTCCCATCTGGTACTCGCTGACTGTGACCGGGTGGCAGAACTTTCCTTTCATTGTGCTTCACTTACGGTCCCCACTGTTGGTCTACGTCTGCTCCTCTCTGCACAAGAAGGGGGATTGCTTCATGGTGTTTATTCACAACAGCAACGGTTATCACAGGTCGATCTTCACTATCACTGAAGCTGGGATCTGCTCCCTGCAGGATATGGAAAAGGGTAAACTTACCACTAAACACTGCCCTCTAAAGCATTCACTTGCCATCCTGTTAAATATAACAAACCTCCCTGATGGGACTGAACTGCTTTCAATTACAAGAGAATCAGGAAAGCCAAAAGACCGCCTAGAGTATCAAGAGCTGCCAGGAAACTCAAGCAATAAAACTTCTGTCGCCACATCAGGAGGGTTAGGCACCCAGACAAACTTGCTTCTCTAGGAAACATGAGGTCACCACCCCAGATTCTGATCCCTATCAGGCCATTATTTGGGCTCAGGTCTGCAATTCTTCCTGTTTTCTTTGCTATAAGGTCAAGCAACAGGTGATAATGTGAAGCTTTTCACCACCATTTAATATATATCCAATTTTTAATTAGCACAATATTGAGCCAAACGTCCATCTGAAAAAGATACAGGTGGAATGCTTAGCTGAAAATCCTAGGAACACTTGTTCTTTTGGTTATACTTACTTCATCAAGCAACTGTTCAATCACAGAGACTCTTCCTTTCCCTGTTGGTCCAACTTCCTGCAGCAGGAGTCTATTTTCAGGCTGCAGGATTACAGAATGTGGTCATACTCATCATCACAAAATATTTTTGGCTGTTAAGTCTCACTTGCCCAGGTTCAACCCTCAAGGCAAATGTTTCCTCCCCACAGTTAAGTTCTAAACCAGAGGATTCAGATGACAGTGAGTGTAAATAGAGGGGTGTTTGTTTGTGTGTGTGTGTGTGTGTGTGTGTGTGTGTGTGTGATCTTCAACAGCCAGGAGCAGAAATAACTACATCTAATGTAAATCTTCCTGGTTTTTCAAACCTTGTCTTGTGGAAGTACCACACTGACATTATTTTACATTCTTAAGGAAAGAATGCAATTGAGAAACCTTACAAAAATCCAGAAACTCCTCACTAGTTTTATTATTTCTAGAAAGCCAGTCAGGTGAATCCTAAAACTTACTTTGCATGCTTTGTATGGTGTTCAAAGCAGCCTATAAGTGTGACAGTTCAGAAAATGTGCTTACCTGATGAGTGAGTAAACCAAAAAGTTCATCTCTTGTTTGGGGGGAAAAAAAAGCTATCATCTGCCATCAGAAATCTGAAGAATTATTTGCATTTTATATTTTTAAAATTCAATAAAATTTGTCCATATAACCTTTAAGAATAAAGGTTGTTAATAATTCTATTTACTAGAAGACTGAAGAAGTCATCTAGAAAGACATAATTCTTGGCATGTTTCTGCTGTTGAATCCTAGGGGTGACTCCCAAGGACCTCGGAAACTGGAACCATTTCTCTGCTTGTAAAGTGGAAATACCTACCTGTCCCTGATCCCCTTGGAAATCATCAGGATAAGGATATTGGACAAGACCTCTGAGGCTTTGAAAGGAAGAGGCAGGGGCTCAGGCTGTGTCCCCTCTGTTCCTGACTCTAGGGCAAGTAGCTTAGAACAAGTGAACCCCCAGGAAATTTTTGCTTATATTGCACTCCATCTTATGGAATATATACTAGAAGGCACAATAATGTCAGCTTCATGAAATCTTAGATCTTTTTGTCTTTTGTTTATGTCTTATTTTCAATACCAGGAAACATGTCTGCTATATCTGTGCTCAAAAATAATAATTATTTTTTTAAAGATTTTTTTTATTTATACATACAAGAGCTGGGGTACAGGCCAGAGGTCTGAGGGAGGGGTGAGAGGATTCACCAGAGACAGAGTGGAGAACAGAACAGGCAGATCCACTGAAATACACTGCTGAGGGTGCAGTGGGCGAGTCAGGAGAGGTCTGCTGCACCATGTGGGTAGCTCCCTGGCCAGGGATTCAACTTGTGCTGCAGCGGCTATGGATAGCTTCATAGACTCCTATTTAATCCCTTGCACCACTAGGGAGGCCAGTCTGTTAAAGCTTTTGACATTTTTAATCAGATTTTTGTTTTCTTGTTGTTGAGTCTTAAGAGATCTCTGAATATTTTAGATGAGTCCTTTATTCCATAGGTATTTTGCAAATATTTTCTCCCAGTTTGTGGCTTATCTTTTCATTTGATGAATTATAAAATCTTTTACAGATCATGAATTTAAAATTTCAATCATATTCAGCTTAATAATGATTATTTTTCATGAGTGGACAGATGCTATAGTCTCTGATGCCTTATCCCTATATGCAAATGAGAAAATAAAGGCACATAGCAACAGGGGAATTCAGATCACATATAGAATAAGAGGGTGGAGTATCCAAAGTAAAAGTATAAAGTTTGTGGAACTCCACACTTCTCTTATAGTCATTAACAATATTTCCAGCTGGGAGGCAGGGGGAGAGTTCAAGGAATCAAAAGCAGTGAAAGTTAAAAAAAAAAAAAAAAACCTCTAATTTCCCCCCAAGTTATAGGTGCTTATTTCATGCAATGTGTGTGGTAGGAAGACACAAGATTAGAGTGTCAGAGACATCACAGTGGCAGGCGGGTGGCTATGGCTGTCCCCATCTCCAGTCAGGAGGCCCAGATAGTTGGGCCTTGTTGCTAAGTGCCAATCTCCCTGCCACAGCCAAAGAGGACCAACTAATAGGCAAGGTGGTTGAACTGAGCAAGATCACCAACCACCTTTCTCCAAAGTTCCTATTGAAATTATTCATGATCTATATTTTTGAAAAAACTCTTACAGCTGTGGGAAACTCTGAAAGGATTAATTGTGGGGAATCCCAATGACTAAAAGTAGATGAAATCTGATTGACAAGGAAATCAAAGGAAAACCAGTTGAAGATGATAGAGGGATGAGTATTTTCTCTCCATGGAATCCTGCAAAAGCTCAGGGTTAATCACCAAGGAGGGTCAATGTCAGGCACAGGCTGAATTCCTGAGTGTATTACTGAACGGCGCTATGTGAACAGCTAAGATGGACAGAGTCCTCTCCCCTGTGCAAGAGGGCAGGCTTTTGCTTTCTGCTTAAACTTTGATAAATATTTTCTAGAGAGTTAATGATTTTCTCGAATAAAGACTTCTATTGAGAGCACTGAGGCCCAACATGGGAGAAGAACAAAGCCCAGCCCTCTACGACAAATACAGAGAGGATTTAGAGGGCAGGAAAGACAGTTTCATCCAGAAAGAAAATACACCAGAGAACTTTATACCACCATCCTCACCACTAGAGAAAAGGCCTTCTTAGATGATTCAGAGGCTCAATGGCCACATACCCTTCAGGGAAGTCTGCCCACAGCAAGCCCATTCACCCACAGGGACCCCAGAGATCCATATACCCATGATGGGCACCCATGCCAGGCACCCCAGCTTATCAAACTAGCCCTTCATTTGTCAACAAGACCTGACAACCAAGGATCAGCACATACTTGAGACATAAAAAATAAGAAGGAGAAAGACATGCAGATAGGACTGACCTCAGAAGTAACAGAGGTGATTCAGAAAAGTGATGGAAGTTAAAAGTTATTCTAATAATCTTGAGATATTTTAAAGGATTCTGGCTCCATAAAAGTATAAAATAAAAGTATACTGTCATAAACAAAGGAATAGAGAATGAAAAAAAATCCTTCCCTTCAAAATAATCTCAGAATAAATATCAGCTAGACAGGCTGAAGAAGACAGCTATAAGGCCCAAGGAATACACATACTGTAAACTGTTCCTTCTGTTCTTGAAAGTTTTTGATCTTGAAATCCTTTGTCTTCTTGATCTTTTCAGCGGTGTCTGATGTGCTCTGGCTGTAGTCACTTGCTGGAATGACAATGAGTCAAGGACCAAAAGGAAGCCACTCCCCACATACAAAGAGCTACTCTACTGCCATGTCCTTCAAAAGGTTAGAAGAAATAATACAGCTTTTGTAGAACTATTTCTAAGACTAAACATGGCAGGAAGGACTCCTTGGGCCACTCAATCCATCCAGAGGATGGGCAGAAAGAAGGGCAGTTGAAAAGACTCGAGTTTTTAGTCGAAAATAACAACCTCCCCCTTCACTGCCAATATATTTCCTTCTTCACTTCTGAAAAGCCAGAGAAATGAAATGGCTGGAACATATAAGATGCCTGGTGGAACCAGCAAATTTTAAGCAAAGTCATCCTTGCCAAGTCAATGTGCTCCTGGTCAATCGTTTGAAAATCTCCAGACAGGTACAACTCACCCAAGCTGGACCTGCTGCTGAACAGCTCATTACCACCCTCAGTGACACCGCTCAGAAAGTGGTCGCTGAAATTCACCGCCTTGTCAAGGTAAAGATTCTGGCCAATGACAAAATTCAAGCACAACAAATGATGAGGCTGCTGTTCCAGCAGAAAGAATGTAGTGCTCCTCTTTTTGTTTTTGTTTTTTAAGATTTATTTATTTATGCATACAAGAACTGGGGTACAGGTTAGAGATGTGGGGGGTGAGAGGTTTCACCAGAAGCAGAGTGGGGAATAGAACAGGCAGATCTACTGAAATACACTGCTGAGGGGAGCAGCGGGTGAGTCAGGAGAGGTCTGCTGCACTATGTGGGTTACCTCCTTGGCCGGGGATCGAACTCAAGCTGCAGTGGCTGCGGATTGTTTCATAGTGCTGTATCTTAACCCCTTGTGCCACCAGAGAGGCCCCTCCTCTTTTTGTTAATGACAGCTTTAGCTACACAATCAGCTTGAAACCTGGCTTCCTTCCTGATACCTCTCTCACCTCACTCTAATCTTGCGTTCATTTTGCCTCTTCACAGTTTTCTTAGTCTGGCCCCTCCTCTCCGTTACTACAGCCACAGCCCCCTCATCTCACACTGCAAAACCCTAACACGTTTCTGCCGACCCACCTTCCCTGTTATTCCTCAGTTGCCTTCACATAACTTAGAAGTAACTATCTCGTGTTCCTCACTCCTCTTCCCCTGAAGTACTTCCATGAGCCAAGCTCTGCTTTAGTCACACAACCTGAAACACAGCACTTAGTGGGTTTTTTGGTTTCAAAGAACCTTTGTGTGCATTAACCCACTGTATACTCCCAACCTCTCTTTGAGACAGTAGGGCCCATGCATCTCTCTTACTTTTAAAGACAATGCTTGCACATAGCCAGAGCCTAAAAAAGGCCAGTTCTCTGTCTTTTCCTTTCTTTCTTGACCTCTCTTCTTAATATATTAGTTATTCTTTTGAATATTTTGATTTCCTGTCCAGTCAAATTAAAGGTGCTGATAACAACCCATTAATGCTTGTCACACACTTACAGGGTCTGTGACAATGCCCAAACCCCATATATGAGGGCAGGTCAGGGGCCTCTCTGGTGGTGCAAGAGGTTAAGTCTCAGCATTATGAAGCTATTTGCAGCCCGAGTTTGATCCCTGGCCTGGGAGCTAACCCACATGGGGCAGCAGCCCTCTCCTGTCTCACCTGCTGCTCCCCTCAGCAGTATATTTTAGTGGATCTGCCTGTTCTGCTCCCTACTTTGTCTCTGGTGAATCCTCTTATCTCCCCACATCTCTGACCTGTACCCCAGTTCTTGTATGCATACATAAATAAATCTTTAAAAAAGAAAAAGAGGGCAGATCAAGGAGGACATGACCACAAAATTTGGTTTATTTTATATAGGCAAATAGATCAATTACATATCAGCAAGTGTTTCTGTGAGTATATCCTAAAACTACTTATATCACAGAACTGTCCTTGAACCACAGTGAATATAAATTAGTCTGAGGCTTACAGGACTAATAGAATGGGTGACAATTCCTGTTCTTACTGTATCTTTATGTACCTAAAAGCTGGCTTCTCTGAAGTTTAGCTCAGTTATTTACCTAATTTATGAAATTTTTGCCTGACCTACAGTGAAGTTTCACAATATTTGAAACTTTTCCTTTCTATGGATTATGAAGAGCCTTTCAATAAAGTACAAGCTACAATTTACTAGATCAACCAATTTTCAGACAAATAACTGCTAAAAATTTTACTTACCTTTTTTGAGACTTGACTATAGTTCAGCCTGATGCTAACTTCATAGCCATCTTGATGGACAGTAGCAGAAATAAGCTTTTAAAAAAGTATTAGAGAGAATTCACCACTGTGGTGTAAGTCTCAGTGCCCTGAGCAACATAAATTTAATCAAATATTTAATCAACACAAAAGAAGGGAGCAAAAGAGAAACAGAGGAACAATAACTAGATGAAACAGAACACATAGCAAAATGCTGGTGATATCTATAATTCCATAAATTATAAATGAACTCAATAAATACAGATGTTTCTTGACTTACAATGGGGTTAATCTTATAAACCCATTGCAAGTTGAAAATATCCTGTCAAAAATATATTTACTACACCTAACCTACCAAACACCATAGCTTTACCTACCTCAAACATGCTCAAAGCACTTACATTATCCCATTGTCGGGAAAAATCACCTAACACAAAGCCTAATTTATAAAGTATTGAATATCTCATGTAATTTATGGAGTACTGTACTGAAAGTGAAAAATAGATGCCCTGATTCAAAAGTTGAAGCACATTTTCTGCTGAATGCATTTTGCTTTCTCCCCATTACAAAGATGAAAATTTTAACATTGTTAAGTCAGGGACCACCTGTATTCTAATCAAAGAGCAGGCTTGATAAAGAAAGCAAGATCCAAATATTACTGTGCACAAGAGGCACACTTTCAGTAATCAGGCCACATGGCTGGATGTTATCACCTGGGAAAAGGTGTCCTAGGGTGCCAAGCCCTGGCAATCAAGGGTCAAGTATCATAGGTAAACGTTCTCTCTATAAGTACCAGGAGGAATTTACATTAAAGAAGGGGTCACAGATGCTTCAAGGATCAGAGAGTACATATTTTAAGGTTTGTGGGCCATATGATTTCTGCCTTGAATATTCACTATCATCATTGTAGCACAAAAGCAGCTAGTCAAAAAGTAAATGAACAAGTGTAGCTGTGAGCCCATAAAACTGTATTTATAAAACTGGGTGACAGGCTAATTTGTCCCACAGGCCATAGTTTTCAGACCCCTGGATTAGGCTAAAGAATTCACAAAATAGATTCTCAAAATAAACCATGCAATACTTGCCAATGAAACAGTTTCAATGTTGGCCTATTTGGTGACAGAGGAACAGAGAGGCTGGTTTTAGAAAAGTCTTTCTAACCTTACGACAGAGAACAAGGTCTTCTCATGCAGGTGCCTCTAAAATGGTGGGGTAACACCAGGAAAAGGGCATGGGGCTAGGGTCTGACAGAACTGTTTCAAATATGAATGCCCCAAAACTCAGCGGTACAGTCCTGGGCATATCACCAAAACTATAGGAGTCCATTTTCCTTGGTGGCAAATAAAGTTTATCCTGATTACTCACTGCAGTGTAAAATTGCACCCCAAACTTTGTGACATTAAATAACCACCATTTTATTATGTTCATGGACTCAGACAGGGTACAATAGGAAAAGCTTGTGTTTACTCCATATATCTGAATATTCAGCTAAGGAGACTCAAATGGCTAATGTGACTCAAGGTTTGGGGACCTTAAGGACCTGCAGTCTGGTCACTCAACTGCCTGGCCTTTTTTTTTTTTTTTTTTTAAAGACTTGTTTATTTATTTTATATACAAGCACTGGGTACAGTCAAAAGCGCGGGAGGGTGAGAGAAATCACCAGACAGAACAGGCAGGCTGACGAAGCACACTGCTGAGGGGAGCAGCGGGCGGCAGGAGAGGTCTGCACGCCATGTGGGACCCTCGCACGGAGGGCAGGGGATCGAACCGGCGCTGCAGAGGCTGTGGGCAGCTTTGCAATCCAGCGCTCAACCGCTGCGCCACCAGGGGAGGCACTCAACTGCCTGGCTTTTGAGCCCTTGTAACACCAGGATTGCAGCTGGGATTGCAGACAGATAGATGCACTTTCGTGCAACTATTCCACATGGAATAGTTTTCATGTACACTCATCTACATCAGGCAAAGTCAATGGAAGGAACTTCAACCTGGTCTCCTGGGATTATCTGGGATGGAAATTCGAAGCAGAGTTCACCTACCTTTCCCATCCTGGGTTCTGCAATCAAGGCGCGAAATTCAGGGTTATTCTGAGCGTAAGACCTGAGGTGAGCAGAGATGTGATCCAACTGTTTCCTCCAGTATCCTGAAAGGAAGAGAAATTATCCACATGGAAATTATCCACATGGTTATCTGAGACTAAGAAAAATGATAATGTTGAATGAACATGTGTTCTCAAAGAAGTCATTTTTCTGTGCCAAACCTTGTGATGTACTAGAATAGGTTCCACTTTTGTTCCCAGCTTCTTTTTACATGATTAATCATAGAATATTTTTTTTTTAATCTTAAATTTTATTTTTATATTCCCCCATACAATTGCAAACACCCCATTCTGACCACAATCCTTCCCCTCCCGCTCCCCACCCCCCAAAAAGTGTCTCTGGTTCATAGTTTTTTGTTGATTTTGATTTTCACTTTCTTATATTCATTTTCCTGGTCCCTTATTTAAGTTTTCTAGATTCCTGCTATGAGTGAGACCATCCGGTATTTTTCTTTTCTTTTTGGCTTATTTCGCTGAGCATGATCCCTTCCAGTGCCATCCATGTTGCTGCAAATTGCATGTGTTTATCTTTTTTGAATGCTGAGTAATATTCCATGGTATATATGTACCACATCTTCTTGATCCAGTCATCTACTTTTGGGCATTTGGGTTGTTTCCAAAGCTTAGCTATTGTAAACAGTGCTGCTATAAACATAGGGATGCAGGTGCTCTTTGGAATTGATGTTTCTGTGTCCTTTGGGTAAATACCTAGGAGTGGAATTGCTGGATCATATGGAAGCTCTATGTTTAGTAGGTCCAGAAATCTCCACACAGCTCTCCATAGTGGTTGGACCAGTTTGCACTCCCACCAGCAGTGCAGGAGAGTTCCTTTTTCTCCACACCCTCGCCAACATTTGTTGTTGCTAGTTTTTTTAATATGTGCCATTCTCACTGGTGTAAGATGGTATCTCATGGTAGTTTTGATTTGCATTTCCCTGATTACAAGTGATGTTGAACATTTTTTCATATGCCTGTTGGCCATTTGCATTTCCTCTTCAGAGAAGTTTCTTTTTAGCTCTTCTGCCCATTTTTTGACTGGATTATTTTCTTTGTTGTTGCTGAGTCTCATCAGCTCTTTGTAGATTTTTGTGATCAGTCCTTTATCATTAGTGTTGGGTGCAAAAATGTTCTCCCAGTTGGTGGGGTTTCTCTTTGTTTTTGTTATTGTCTCTTTTGCTGTGCAGAAGCTCTTTAATTGATGTAGTCCCAGCTGTTTATCTTTGTCTTCACTATCACTGCTTTGGGTGATGTGTCTGTAAAGATGTCTTTGATGTGCAAATCCCGTAGTGTTTCGCCTATATTTCCTTCTATGTATTTTATGGTTTCAGGTCTTATGTCGAGTTCTTTAATCCATTTTGAGTTGATTTTTGTGTATGGTGTGAGGTAGTGGTCAAGCTTCATTCTTTTGCATGTAGCGACCCAGTTTTCCCAGCACCATTTATTGAACAAACTTTCTTTGCTCCAATGCATAGTCTTTGCTCCTTTGTCAAAGATTAGTTGACCATAAATCTGTGGGTTTATTTCTGGATTTTCTATTCGATTCCATTGGTCTGTATGTCTGTTCTTGTTCCAATACCATGCAGTTTTGATGATTATGGCTTTGTAGTATAGTTTGAAGTCTGGGAGTTTGATGCCTCCATTTCCTTCTTTTTTTTTCAGTAGAGCTTTGGCTATTCGGGGTTTTTGGTGATTCCATATGAATTTCATCAATAATTGTTCTATTTCTTTGAAGAATGCCATTGAGATTTTGATTGGAATAGCATTGAATCTGTATATTGCTTTTGGTAGGATGGCCATTTTAATAATGTTTATTCTTCCAATCCATGAGCAGGGGATGTCTTTCCATTTCTTTGTGTCTTCTTCTATTTCTTTTAACAGTGTTTTATAGTTTTCTTTGTATAGGTCCTTTACCTCTTTTGTTAGATTTATTCCCAAATATTTGATTTTTTTTGTTTCAATAATAAAAGGGGTGGTTTTTTTGATTTCTTCTTCTTCAGATTTATTGTTTGTGTATAGGAAGGCTACTGACTTTTGCGTGTTGATTTTGTATCCTGCCACTTTACTGAACTGACTGATGAGTTGAATTAGTTTTTCTGTGGAGATTTTGGGGTTCTCTATGTATATTATCATATCATCTGCAAATAGTGATAGTTTGACTTCTTCTTTTCCTATTTGGATTCCTTGGATGTCTTTCTCTTGTCTTATTGCTCTGGCTAGGACTTCCAGTATTATATTGAAAAGCAGTGGTGAGAGTGGACATCCTTGTCTTGTTCCAGATCTTAATGGAATTGCTTTCAGCTTTTCACCATTGAGAATGATACTGGCTGTTGGCTTGTCATAGATGGCCTTTATGATGTTGAGGTATGTTCCTTGTATCCCAAGAATTTCAAGGGCTTTTATCATGAATGGGTGTTGCACTTTGTCGAAAGCTTTCTCAGCATCTATTGATATTATCATATGGTTTTTATATTTCTTTTTGTTGATGTGTTGGATAACGTTGATTGATTTTCGGATGTTAAACCATCCTTGTGCCCCTGGAATGAATCCAACTTGGTCGTGGTGAATTATCTTATGGATACATTGTTGGATTCTGATAGCTAAAATTTTATTGAGGATTTTTGCATCAGTGTTCATTAGGGAGATTGGCCTATAGTTTTCCTTTTTTGTGTTGTCCTTATTCGGTTTTGGTATTAGTGTAATGTTGACTTCATAGAACGTGTTTGGTATTGTCCCTTCCTTCTCAATTTTTTGGAAGAGTTTGTGAAGGACAGGCACTAATTCGTCTCTGAATCTTTGGTAGAATTCATTTGTAAATCCATCAGGTCCTGGGCTTTTGTTTTTGGGAAGGTTTTTGATTACCATTTCAATTTCGCTGCTTGTAACTGGTCTGTTTAGGTGTTCTATTTCTTCTTTATCTAGCTTTGGGTGATTGTAGAGTTGTAGGAATTTGTCCATCTCCTCTAGATTGTTGAACTTGTTTCCATAGTAGTTACTGATTATTCTTTTGATTTCTGCTGTGTCCGTTGTGATTTCTCCTCTTTCATTTATGATCCTGTGTATTTGTGCTTTCTCCCTTTTTCCTTTGTGAGCCTGGCTAGGGGTTTGTCTATTTTATTGATTTTTTCAAAGAACCAGCTCTTGGTTTCATTGATCTTTTGGATTGTTTTTTTAGTTTCAATTTCATTTATTTCTGCTTTGGTTTTTATTATTTCTTTTCTTCTACTGGATTTGGGGGTTTTTTGTTGTTCTTTTTCTAGATCTTTGAGCTTCGAGATTAGGTTGTTTCTTTGAGTTCTTTCTTGTTTTTTGATGTGAGCTTCTATTGCTATATATTTTCCTCTTATTACTGCTTTTGCTGCATCCCATACATTTAGGATATTGGTGTCCTCCTTGTCATTCAATTCAAAGAATTTTTTAATTTCTTCTTTGATCTCCTCATTAGTCCAGTGGTCTTCCAGTAGTGTGGCTTTTAATCTCCATGAGGTAGGATAGTTCCTTGCCTTCTTTTTATGATTTATTTCTAGTTTGATGCCTTCATGGTCAGAAAAGATGGTTGGTATGATTTCAATCTTGGTGTATCTGTTGATGTTTGTCTTGTGCCCCAGTATGTGATCGATCCTGGAGAATGATCCGTGTGCGCTTGAGAAAAATGTGTACTCCGTTTTTTTTGGGTTTAGTGTTCTATAGATGTCTGTTAAGCCCAAATGCTCTAGGTCCTTATTTAGAGCTTTAGTTTCTTTACTTATTTTTTGTCTTGTTGATCTATCCATTGTTGATAGTGGTGTGTTGAAGTCTCCCACTACATATGTGTTTTCTCTGATGTCTGTTTTCAGAGAGGACAACAGTTGTCTGATATATTTTGGTGCTCTTTCGTTTGGTGAGTATATGTTAATGAGTGTTATTTCTTCTTGAAGTATTGTCCCCTTAATCATAATGTAGTGACCATTGGGGTCTCTTTTTATTTTTTTGAGTTTGAAGTCTGTTTTATCTGATATAAGTATAGCTGTTCCTGCTTTCTTTTTTGGCCCATTTGCTTGTAGGATTGTTTTCCATCCTTTGACTTTGAGCCTATTTTTATCTTTTGTAGCTAAATGTGTTTCCTGGAGACAGCAAAAGGTTGGGTTTTGTTTCTTAATCCAGGCTGCAACTCTGTGTCTTTTTATTGAAGAGTTTAGTCCATTTACATTTAGAGTTAATATTGATATGTTAGCATCTGTATTTGCCATTATGTTTGTCTTTCCTTTGATTTTATTTATTCTTTTAATAACTTTTTTTTTTTTTGGTCTTCTTTCGTTGTTATTCATCCCTCTGAGGTTCTGGCTTTAGGATTCCTTGTAGTATTTTTTGGAGTGGGGGTTTATTCGTAATGAAATTCCGGAGTTTCTCTTTGTCTGGGAGGTCCATATTCTTTCTTCATGGAGGAAAGAGAGCTTTGCGGGATAGAGTATTCTTGGTTGGCATCTGTTTTCTTGGAGTCTGTTGACTATGTCCCTCCACTCTCTCCTTGCCCGTAGTGTTTCTTCAGAGAAGTCTGATGTCAGCCTGATTGGTTTTCCTTTGAATGTTATCTGTTTCTTCCCTCTTGTCAGCTTCATTATTTTTTCCTTGTCCTGGATTCTTGGGAGCTTTACTATTATGTGTCTTGCTGTGTTTTTCCTTTCGTCGTGGAAGTTTGGTGTTCTTCTTGCTTCTTGTATATCAATTTTCAGCTCCTTCTTCGCATTTGGGAAGTTCTCTTCAATTATCTCCTGGAATATTTTCTCTGTTCCTACATCTCTCTCCTCTCCTTCTGGAATTCCTATAACTCTTATATTTCCTTTCCTCATGGAGTCAGATAGTTCCCGAAGTCTTTCTTCATTCTTTTTCCTTCGTACTTCTCTTTCCTTTTCTGTTTTGGTTCTTTTTATTTCTGTGTCTTTAAGAGAACTTATTCATTCTTCCATTTCATCTATTCTGCTTTCCTTGCTTTTCCTGGAGTTCTTTAGTTCCTCCATTAATTCTTTGATCTCCTGCATTTCTTTTACTTCCCTCTTTAGGGACTCAATTTCATTCTTCTGACCATTGTTTTCCCTCTTTAGGGACTCAATTTCCTTCTTCTGATCTATCACTTTTTTAATCATGGCAATTTTAAATTCTCTTTCTGGAAGGCTCAGAAGTTCTTCCAAGTTACTGTCGTTGTAATCTGGAGGGTGGTTTTCTTTTTGTGGTGTGCTTCTTTCCTGAGGAGTTGTTAGGTTGCGTGTGGTTCTTCTACTCCCTACTGTCTGTTTTCTAATTTGTCGTATGCGTTGGGACACTGTGTTGCTCGGACTGACTGGCATCTTGGGTGAACTTCTCCGCTCCCCTCTGGCTCTTCCAGGAGCCATCTCTGTCTTCTGGGGGAGCTTTCTGCTGGTTTTAGGCAGTTTTTACTGAAGAAATGTCCCTGTTCTCAAATGGCGAAGCGGGATGCAGTCCCTGCGCCTCCGGTTTCAGGCACACTCTTCTGCGCACCCGGTCTGCCCCGGACGTGGGTGCCTGCTCCCTCTGTGGGCTCAGACTGCTGGTCGGAAGGGGCCTGGCGTGGAATAACTTCCCGGCTGGCCACTGGGTCCTCCAGAAGCCTTCTGCCCTTTTCAAGCAGTCTTAAGAAATTTCCTGTTTTATGGGGTGTTAGTGACTTTTCTTTTCCTGGTCGCTAGGTGGCGCCAGAGATCTCTCCTATTGTCCTTGGGGGGCTGTTTTTCGCCTCCCCCCCACCCCGTGGGACAGGGAACAGAGCGGGAATGGTAGGGTACACCTCAACAGCTTTGGGGTGCCGCGTCTGCCCTGCGCCCCACCGTCGCGGAGAACCCACGCCCCGAATTCTCGTGCCCCGGGTCTCAGTTCAAAGCCCTCAGTTCCAGGACGCGGGCTGCAGCCCAGTTCAGTGGCGCGGGAATGGCGCCTTTTGCACCACTCCCGTGCCTGGGTGCCTGGTTCCTGCTTACTCAGGGAGGGACCTTCACCTCAGTGAGGACCTCCGCCCGTCTCCCCGCAAGCCTAGGTCGCAGGCGCGGGTACCTGGGCAGCCGCGATTCTGGTCTGCACTTGCCCTTCAATCTCGCCGAGCGCGCTGCGTTTCCGCGCCAGCTTACCGGCAGCCCGGGCTGTGTGCGCGTCTCCCGGGGTCTTTGTTCTTCTCTAATGGCGCCCGGAGCCGTTCGCTCACCGCCGCAGCGGATCCTGCAGGGTTCTCCACAGCTCCCGTTCACGGGGTGTGGTGGCTGCAATAGTTCCTTTCCACTCACAGTCCCGCTTGCTGCGTCGTTTGCTCTTGTGGGCCGTTTTGGTTTGTTGTTTCCTCCTCTCTGCCGGTCGGAGAGTGCTGACTCTGTGGGCGGGGGAGGGGAGCAGGGTTCTGCGCTTCCCTCCCTTCTAGTCCTCTTTTATGGCAACTTTCTTCTTCGGGCAGTTTGCTGGAGTCACCCGTTTATCTTCCGTGTCCCAGTTCTCACTGGGACCTGCCGCTTTTCCTCCCTATTAACTTTTTTTAATGGGAGATCTTACTCGCAGCGTCTCCTCGCCGCCATGTTGCTCCGCCCCCCTGATTAATCATAGAATATTATACAATCTTAAAAGAACATGTTTTGATTGCCACATATGGGTCTATTTTACTTTCTTTTTAAAATAAATGAACCAATTTTAAATGTACACTTTGGGTTTGGGGAAGTATATACATCCTAATTAATATGCAGAATATTTCTGTCACTCTCTTCCAGACTGCATAGAATTTAAAACACATTTGAATTTATTGCCATCATTTAGAACTGTGGAGATTTCACCTGGGTCTAGATTTCTGGTTTCTTGTGTACAGGTGGGAGATGCAGCAGTGATGGGCCTGCATTTCTGCAGAGGCCTGGCTTCTTGAGTCAAAGGACAGCTGCCCACTTTGAACAGGGCAGGGGCCTTCCAGGTAGTCACAGTCCCTGAAGGTTCGGTTGTCTCCCTTTACTTCCCAGCTCAGCCCTGTGGATAGCAGTCTATAACCAGCATGGGATCCATTTTACCAATGTAGACACTAAAGCTGAGAACAATCTGGTGGCATTTCCAAGGTCACTCAGCATGGCTTAGTGGAAAGGGTACATGATGGATTCAGACAAGCCTGAATTAAATCTTAAATTTACCATGAACTGGCTTAGTGAACCTGAGTCAGACATTAAATCTTGTTAAGCCTTACTTTTCTACCTCTAAAATGGGACTGATACCTCTTACCTCATATGTTACTGTGACATCAAATAAAAGACCTAAGTGTCCCATTTTGGGTTCCTCTGACAGCAAAGCCTGAGACAATGATTTAGGACAGGTGTTTTCTTTCCAAGCAACCCTGGGAAGCACAAGTCATGGAGCAGCAAAACATGAAAAGAGTTAAGTCAATAAAGAATGTGTTAAAAGCTGGTTAATTTTATGGGCAGCTGGAGTTCTGACCTTCTGAGAACTTATAAGGAACCATGTAGAACATGCCTCAGGAGTGACCATTGCAAGGTACACACACTGGAGCATATTCATAATAGCTAACCAGTGACCACAGCTCAAATGTCCACCACCTGATGAGTGGATAAACAAATGTCCTATGTCCATACAGCAGAATATCATCTAGTCATAGAAACAAAAATGAAGTACTGAAATGTGCTACCTGGATAAAAGTTCACTTATACAAAGTGAAAGAAGTCATTTACAAAAGTCCATGTGTTACACACTTCCATTTTATATGTCCAGAGAAAGCAAATCCATAAAGACAGAAAAAAAGACTACTAGTTGCCAAGTACTTCGGAGAGAGCAGGAAAAGAGTAGCTGCTTCTAGAATTCAGGGTTTATTTTGGGGTGATGAAATGTTCTAGAAACATATAGTGGTGATGGTTGTACAAAATTGCTAATATACTAAATGTCAGTGAATTGTATATTTTAAAATGCTTAAAATGCTTACTTTTGTTATGTGAATTTTATCACAGAAAGAAAAAAGAGATAATGGTAGATAGCAATAATGACACAGACTCACAACACTTCTACCCTAACAGTAGAAATCCATATGTACTATTTGGTTTGTGAACTGGAACATGGGGCTGAGTCAAAACCTCAGAGTGCTAAAAGTTCAATGAAATGCTATTATTCATGCAAAGAAAAATAACTTGAAAAAAGAAAAATAAAGGAACTTCTTGTACATAAAACCTAAAGGAAGAAAAAAAATGTCATTTCTTTCAGAGAAAAGATGAGTTCCCTCCTGACTAGTATACATTTCTCCTCACCTCTTCCTGGACTGACAGCTGTCAGAAGAGGTTTGTGGTCACTCATCTTCTCCTGCCTCTGCTTTTGAGAAGCCATTTGCACTTCCTTTTTTGCGAGTAGCTTGCCAGATGGGTAGAAAAGACCAGCAGTCTGTGTGCCCACATCCTTCTTAGTCCCAGCATAAGATTTGGGCAAAGGAACACTTAGGGGCTGCCAGGCAGATCGGGGCTATAAGAGCAAGGCAGAACACATTTAAAAAAATTATAACACAATTGAATTAATTCTCCATTTTGCTCACAGAAAACAGTTCTAATCAGAAGTAAAAATACTACCAAGAAAATGTACTCCAATCTAAAAGGGGTTTTTCCACACCATTGCCTCATCATCCATGTTTCTGTCTTTCCAAAAACTCCCAGATTAATCTTTGAAGCCAGCCCCATTCCCGTGGCCATTTACAGTCTAAAACTCAGTAATCAGCTGGTGCTCCTGTCCTGCCACATGAGGCCTAGAAGACACCTGCTCTCTCAGCTCTAGTCCAGTGAGCACAGACTTTCCAATCCATCCACATGACTGGGCACAAACATCTCTGAGACACTTCAGTGCATCTGAACCTGGGGACTTGAGAGGACCACCACGTAAAGGTGTGTAGGCTGTGCACTGACAACAGCATTATTTCACCTAGAGGCATAAATGTTCACATGGTAGATGCCATACATTTGCATATTTATTAAACAATTTTTCTGGTAAATGGAAGGAAATTTCCAACAGATGGCAGTCAGGTTTATTGGGAAAAGAACACCTTTGCCTCATTTGCAAAAGGTGCCATATGGGCTATTGGCAATCCCAGGATCTGTAAGTCTTTTTTTTTTTTTTTTTTTTTTTTTTTTTTTTATTAAATTTTATTTTTATATTCCCCCATACAATTGCAAACGCCCCATTCTGACCCAATCCTTCCCCTCCCGCCCCCACCCCCAAAAAGTGTCTCTGGTTCATAGTTTTTTTGTTGATTTTGATTTTCACTTTCTTATATTCATTTTCCTGGTCCCTTATTTAAGTTTTCTAGATTCCTGCTATGAGTGAGACCATCCGGTATTTTTCTTTTTCTTTTTGGCTTATTTCGCTGAGCATGATCCCTTCCAGTGCCATCCATGTTGCTGCAAATTGCATGTGTTTATCTTTTTTGAATGCTGAGTAATATTCCATGGTATATATGTACCACATCTTCTTGATCCAGTCATCTATTTTTGGGCATTTGGGTTGTTTCCAAAGCTTAGCTATTGTAAACAGTGCTGCTATAAACATAGGAGTGCAGGTGCTCTTTGGAATTGATGTTTCTGTGTCCTTTGGGTAAATACCTAGGAGTGGAATTGCTGGATCATATGGAAGCTCTATGTTTAGTAGGTCCAGAAATCTCCACACAGCTCTCCATAGTGGTTGGACCAGTTTGCACTCCCACCAACAGTGCAGAAGAGTTCCTTTTTCTCCACATCCTCGCCAACATTTGTTGTTGCTAGTTTTTTAATATGTGCCATTCTCACTGGTGTGAGATGGTATCTCATGGTAGTTTTGATTTGCATTTCCCTGATTACAAGTGATGTTGAACATTTTTTCATATGTCTGTTGGCCATTTGCATTTCCTCTTCAGAAAGTTCTTTTTAGCTCTTCTCTCTCTTTTGCCCATTTTTGACTGGATTATTTTCTTTGTTGTTGCTGACTCTCATCAGCTCTTTGCAGATTTTTGTGATCAGTCCTTTATCATTAGTGTTGGGCAAAATGTTCTCCCAGTTGGTGGGGTTTCTCTTTGTTTTTGTTATTGTCTCTTTTCTGTGCAGAAGCTCTTTATTTGATGTAGTCCCAGCTGTTTATCTTTCTCTTCACTATCACTGCTTTGGGTGATGTGTCTGTAAAGATGTCTTTGATGTGCAAATCCCGTAGTGTTTCGCCTATATTTCCTTCTATGTATTTTATGGTTTCAGGTCTTATGTCTAGTTCTTTATCCATTTTGAGTTGATTTTGTGTATGGTGTGAGGTAGTGGTCAAGCTTCATTCTTTTGCATGTAGCGACCCAGTTTTCAGCACCATTTATTGAACAAACTTTCTTTGCTCCAATGCATAGTCTTTGCTCCTTTGTCAAAGATTAGTTGACCATAAATCTGTGGGTTTATTTCTGGATTTTCTATTCGATTCCATTGGTCTGTATGTCTGTTCTTGTTCCAATACCATGCAGTTTTGATGATTATGGCTTTGTAGTATAGTTTGAAGTCTGGGAGTGTGATGCCTCCATTTCCTTCTTTTTTTTTCAGTAGAGCTTTGGCTATTCGGGGTTTTTGGTGATTCCATATGAATTTCATCAATAATTGTTCTATTTCTTTGAAGAATGCCATTGAGATTTTGATTGGAATAGCATTGAATCTGTATATTGCTTTTGGTAGGATGGCCATTTTAATAATGTTTATTCTTCCAATCCATGAGCAGGGGATGTCTTTCCATTTCTTTGTGTCTTCTTCTATTTCTTTTAACAGTGTTTTATAGTTTTCTTTGTATAGGTCCTTTACCTCTTTTGTTAGATTTATTCCCAAATATTTGATTTTTTTTGTTTCAATAATAAAGGGGTGGTTTTTTGATTTCTTCTTCTTCAGATTTATTGTTTGTGTATAGGAAGGCTACTGACTTTTGCGTGTTGATTTTGTATCCTGCCACTTTACTGAATTGATTGATGAGTTGAATTAGTTTTTCTGTGGAGATTTGGGGTTCTCTATGTATATTATCATATCATCTGCAAATAGTGATAGTTTGAGTTCTTCTTTTCCTATTTGGATTCCTTGGATGTCTTTCTCTTGTCTTATTGCTCTGGCTAGGACTTCCAGTATTATATGAAAAGCAGTGGTGAGAGTGGACATCCTTGTCTTGTTCCAGATCTTAATGGAATTGCTTTCAGCTTTTCACCATTGAGAATGATACTGGCTGTTGGCTTGTCATAGATGGCCTTTATGATGTTGAGGTATGTTCCTTGTATCCCAAGAATTTCAAGGGCTTTTATCATGAATGGGTGTTGCACTTTGTCGAAAGCTTTCTCAGCATCTATTGATATTATCATATGGTTTTTATATTTCTTTTTGTTGATGTGTTGGATAACGTTGATTGATTTTCGGATGTTAAACCATCCTTGTGCCCCTGGAATGAATCCAACTTGGTCGTGGTGAATTATCTTATGGATACATTGTTGGATTCTGATAGCTAAAATTTATTGAGGATTTTTGCATCAGTGTTCATTAGGGAGATTGGCCTATAGTTTTCCTTTTTTGTGTTGTCCTTATTCGGTTTTGGTATTAGTGTAATATTGGCTTCATAGAACGTGTTTGGTATTGTCCCTTCCTTCTCAATTTTTTGGAAGAGTTTGTGAAGGATAGGCACTAATTCGTCTCTGAATGTTTGGTAGAATTCATTTGTAAATCCATCAGGTCCTGGCTTTTGTTTTTGGGGAGGTTTTGATTACCATTTCAATTTCGCTGCTTGTAATTGGTCTGTTTAGGTGTTCTATTTCTTCTTTATCTAGCTTTGGGTGATTGTAGAGTTGTAGGAATTTGTCCATCTCCTCTAGATTGTTGAACTTGTTTCCATATAACTGTTCATAGTAGTTACTGATTATTCTTTTGATTTCTGCTGTGTCCGTTGTGATTTCTCCTCTTTCATTTATGATTCTGTGTATTTGTGCTTTCTCCCTTTTTTCCTTTGTGAGCCTGGCTAGGGGTTTGTCTATTTTATTTATTTTTTCAAAGAACCAGCTCTTGGTTTCATTGATCTTTTGGATTGTTTTTTTAGTTTCAATTTCATTTATTTCTGCTTTGGTTTTTATTATTTCTTTTCTTCTACTGGTTCTGGGGTTTTTTTGTTGTTCTTTTTCTAGATCTTTGAGCTTCGAGATTAGGTTGTTTCTTTGAGTTCTTTCTTGTTTTTTGATGTGAGCTTCTATTGCTATATATTTTCCTCTTATTACTGCTTTTGCTGCATCCCATACATTTAGGATATTGGTGTCCTCCTTGTCATTCAATTCAAAGAATTTTTTAATTTCTTCTTTGATCTCCTCGTTAGTCCAGTGGTCTTCCAGTAGTGTGGCTTTTAATCTCCATGAGGTAGGATAGTTCCTTGCCTTCTTTTTACGATTTATTTCTAGTTTGATGCCTTCGTGGTCAGAAAAGATGGTTGGTATGATTTCAATCTTGGTGTATCTGTTGATGTTTGTCTTGCGCCCCAGTATGTGATCGAGGATCTGTAAGTCTTTTAATCTGGGTTAAGAAGGTCATGAACACTCTAAAAATGAGTGCAAAGTTGCTGAGTGCATGTGCAGTCTCTCTTCATAATCTTCAAATTCTTCTAATGAAGAGATGAGAAGAAACCTGAAAAGTCTCTATGAGCTTAAAGAAATTCATACAAAGATGGTTAGAAAGTGAGGTCTTCTGAAAACAACTTTGTGAGATTTTTCTCAAACTAAGGCTCGTTGTTAACAATGATAAGAGCAATTTTATATACCTGATGTATGTTTTCTAAAATATAAAAGAGCAGGGTAAAAGTCCTAGGGTACCTTATAAGAAATTTCAGAAAAGGGAAACATGCTATCCCATGTATTTTAAATTCACTTCTTGCTAATGACATTGTATCCATTGCCTTGCAAATGTAATTAGGCCCCAAGTTACTATAGATAAATGCATATGTAGATATTTAACTTCTGAAGAACTCACCTGAGTGTACCTGAATCGACTGAACTTTACACATTGAAATAATGGTAGTTCATATTTTGTCAAAAGCCCATGTGAAAGGTCTAAATGTTTGGCTCTCTTTCACTGGGTTGATTCATAGGGTGGAATACACAAATTCAGAATCACCACCTCTTGGCACTGGTTCTTACTACAGAGGAAGCCTCACCTTAGCAAAAGGGCCCGATTCTCCAGCAGCCAGAGTCAGACTGTTGTCCATGCTAAGTCTTGTCAAATACTTCACATAAATACCACAGGAGCCACAGAATCGGGCATATGGGTGATTGCTGGCCCCACATTTAGGGCAAACAGAGTAGCGTACAGAAGAGCCAGGCTAGAGGATAAGAAATATTTTTATGTTTCTATGAAAATTAGATTCATAATTTTCCCGTATATCAATTATTCCCATATTACACAGTCTCCATACTGTCTGACCCAACAGTTCTCTCTGCTAGAATTTTTCCTAATTACAGTTAAGTACACAAAGAAGTATATTCAAGGCCATTCCCTGCACGATTAAGAGGAGAAAACTGGAAACAACCTAACTGTTCATCAGTAGGGGATGGCCTAAGTATACACAGTACATACAGACAGTGGAATATTATGGAGCTTCTGAAAAGAATGAGAAGAGAGCTGACATGATACACTCTTAGGTGAAATGCCAGTTTACTTATTAACACATTGAACGGCCTGAAGAATACCTCAGAAACTGAGAAGCAGTGATTGCTTCTGAAAAGAGGAGCCGTGGGACTGGGATCACAAGGGAGACTAACCCTTGTATATAAACCTTTTGTATTTTGCACACAACACTTTTTCAAATAAAAAAATACATAATTTTGAGCATTTTATTTAAAAGGCTGGCAAACAGGCAACTCATAAAAGGCAGATAATAGAAATAACATCAATAAATGAGTGAAAAAATCTAACCTTAAAGAAATGTAAATCAAAACATTTAACAATGAGAGATCATTCTTAATTGAAGAGAATTCATTGTCTCTGTCTCCAGTTTCTTAGGTAAATAAGTACCAGTGACCAAACCCTAAGAAGTGATTTCTGAAAGGCTGTGGAAGAGAAGCCTGGTTCTTTCTAGGGTGGAGGTGAGGTGCTCAGCAAAGCTCAGTTTAAGAATACCCACCATGGCTCCACACCAGTCACAGACGCTAGCTTCCTGGTGATTCTGGCGATCACATTTGAAGCAGGAAATGGTCTCCCCTTTCTGTGTAGGCGTAGGAGGGGCTTTATCTCCCCTGTACAGGGACTGGTGAACACAAGGGTATTTATAGGCAGATCAATACTATAAGTCTCCAATTCCCCTCCCATCCAGAAAAGAAGAAAGCCCCAAATCAATGAAAGTTCTTGGGAATATAGTATTTTTACCCCAAAGAGTAAAACTATGATGAAGTTAATTAATAAATTAGTACAAAGAGCATGCATTCTTCACAGAAAGTCAATGAAACTGGTGCCTACCACATTTTGATATTTCTCAGTATCTTTAATACTAAAGGTAGCAAGTCAGTGTTGATTTACGATAACTATGAATAAAGTTGTGAGGTTCCCCAAGTGGCAATATTGAGGTTGCTCTTACGTTCTGAGGGGTTTTGGCTTCCATCTGGGCATGTGAATTTATTTTCCACTTCTATCACATAAAATTAATTGCTTTATTTTGTGGAAGGAAACAGAATTGTTTTGTGAGAATTTCTGAGACTTGGTTAGGTGGATTAGCCTCTTCACTCCTATTATTTACTCGCTATTATCTAGTAAAAGATTTTCTCATCTTCCAAAAGAGAATGGCTAGGATTCATAAATGCTCTCTGAGGCACAAGAGAAGGTAAGACCCAAAATCTGAGCACAGATTATCCGACTCTGAAGTCTGACTTATTCATGAATCCACTCAGTCATGCAACAGCTTCCCTACACGTTTGTAAAGGGATTTCAGATGGTTAGTGGCAATAAGCATGTAGGAATACTTAACACAGGCTCAACCTCCATTTGTCAGTTTATTTCCTTCTCATTGTGTTTTCCACTAGATTCTTACTTCCTTAATGAAAAGGACTATCATTCCACAGTTTTTTCTCCACTTAACATAGCACCTGGTACTTTGGCATATGAGAGTCATTCAAATAGTTGCTGAATGAATTTAATTAATGAATAATTGGTTTAATTGATAAATGACTGTGTACACTGCCACATATTCCATGTGTAATACTAAGAAAGCACATATTGGGCAAGATGTTTTCTAAGGGGCCTCCCTGGTGGCGCAGAGGTTGAGTGCTGGCTTGTGAAGCTGCCCGCAGCCTCTGCAGCGCAGGTTCGATCCCTGGCCACCTGCAAGGGTCCCACATGGCGTGCAGACCCCTCTTGCTGCCGGCTGCTCCCCTCAGCAGTGTACTTCGTCAGTCTGCCTGTTCTGTTCCCTGCTCTGGCTCTGGTGAGTTCTCTCACCCTCCCATGCTTCTGACTGTACCCAGTGCTTATATAAATAAATAAATAAATCTTTAAAAAATTTTTTAATTTATTCTACTATTGAAACAGGGTTGTGATATAAAACTTGCTAATCTGGGTTTCATTGAAATGTATCTACCTACCGTTCTACTGGACTTTTAAAATGTAACACTGCATTAAAAAAGAAAGTTATTTTACTCCACTCACACAAATGCTACTTAACAAAGAAAAGACATCAAGGTATCAGATGGACTTGCATGTTACTTCTATGATTGCATGCTGATGATAAATGATCTCATTGTGACATCTACTCTGACATACCCTTCAGACAGAAGTAAAACTTTGAAAAAAAATTCAATTTTGTGATCATTCTTGAAACAGCTTTGTTGATAGATGAGACCCAGAAACAACTATGTTACTGACAGTTAATAAAATAAATTTAAATTGTTTTACTACTTATAACAGGATACCTGAGAATATTTGAGAATATAATTCTTTTGTGTGGCAATTTAAGTCATTAGCAAGATCAGTCCAAGAGGGTCTCCCTTGTGGTGCAAGGGTTAAAGACAGCGCTATCAAGCTATTGCCAAACACTTCAGCATGAGTTCGATCCTTGGCTGGCCAGGGAGCAACCCACATGGCACAGCAGACCTCTCTTGTCTGGACTGCTGCTGACCTCAGCAGTGTATTTCAGTAGATCTGCCTGCTCTGCTTCCCACTTTCTCTGGTGAATCCTCTCACCCTCCGAACCTCTGGCTTACACCCCAGTTCTTGTATGCATAAATAAATAAATCTTGAAAAAAAAAAGGTAAGTCCAAGAATGTCCAAGTACTACTGTTTTCTTTTTTATACTTTTTCAGTGTCATTTGTTCTCTGAGATTGCCCTGGAAAATTATAAAGAGTAATTTTAGGGAGGAAGAGTGACATAAAATCTGAAAACATTCCAAGTCAGAAATACCAATAAAAAACTACACTAAAATTTCATCAGATTTGATTTGGAAATAATTATGTATTCTTATTAAAATTTCCAGCTGATTAGTATGTTTTTAGGCTCAGTTCTGAAGAAGAAACACATATAACATATATTTTTTTTTAAAGCTACAGATTTTCCTTCTGGTGATGGCAGAATAATGACTCCCATACAGCAAACAACTACAAAACTGCTATTAATATATGTAGGTACTGGAGAAGCAAACCATTATAGCCAGTACCCACAAAAGGGCAGCTGCACAGAGTTAGTTCCCATCTTCATGGCTTTAGCCTGCCGCTCGGGGCTGTCCACATTGTGCATGTGAAGTGGTGGGAAAGGGAAGTATTTCTATCTAAGAGAACCAGAAATCTGTAGCTGGGGAATATTTGGCTAGTGAAGAGGCAGGGAGCTCCCCAGGAAAGAAAAGAGACAGGTAGGGGAATTCCCAAATTTTGTGCACAAACATCTCTTACTGACCTCTGAACAACACATGTGTAGAACACTCAAAGGAGCTCAGCTAAAGACAAAAACACTTGAACTGAGACCAGACTGCTCCTTTCGCTCCCGCCACCAAAAAAACAAAAACCAAAAACAAAACACAATTTTCTTGTGTTTTTTGGTATCTCCCAGAATTTTAGATTGTATCCTAGCATTATAAGTGTTTAGTTGTGATTCTTTTGGATTCTATTACTATTCTCTGATGAATGCTGGGGATTTGTTGTTTGTTTTACTTTTTTTTTGTTTTGACTTAGCAGGCAATAATAAGCTTATATGCCTGGTTTAGTGAATGCACTGCCTGGAATGAACTAGATCAAATGCCTCTTAAAAGAAGTGAAAAATCAAATGAGTTCAACCATGAGATGAATTCGATATTGGAACCAGCAACCAAGTTTTGAAGCACACATTCTTCACATAATGAATATAAGGATAGGAAATTTCAAGAAAGAAATGTAAACAATAAAAATTCTGGAATGGAAAGATACTTGATATTAAATATCTACTGAATGTACTTACTAGCTAAAAGGATATGATAAGGAAAGACTAAGAGAATGAAGATAGTAAATTTATAGTTTATGTTAAAAAAGAAGAAAAATTCAAAAGCAATGATCTTAATTCTCACCTTAAGAAATTAAAAAAGAGGGCCTCCCCGGTGGTGCAGCAGGTTGAGCACAGCGCTGTGAAGCTACCCGCAGCCTCTGTAGCGCAGGTTCGATTCCCGGCTGGCCGGGCCGGGGAGATTCCCAATGGTGAGGCAGACCTCTCCTGTCTCACCCGCTGCTCCCTTCAGCCATGTACTTTGGTCCTTCTGGCTGTTCTGCTCCCTGCTCTTTCTCTGGTGAATTCTCTCACCCTCCCGCACCTCTGGCCTGTACCCCAGTGCTTGTAGAAAAAAATAAATCTTTAAAAAAAAAAAGAAATTAGAAAAAGATAAAATTAAATCCAAAGCAAACAGAAAGAAGGAAATAAGAGTAAACATTAAAAAAAAAAGGCAATAAAGCATAGAGAAAGCCAATGAACCAGAAGAAAGTTCATTAAAAAGATCAACAAAGTTGATGTTTCTAATAGGAGAGGAGGAGGTGGTTATGGGGAGAACACAAGTTATAAACAGCAGGAATGAAAAAGGGAATATCAATACAGATCCTGTAGACATTAAAGGGAATTTCATAATAAAATATCTGATAATATCAAGTGTTGGTGACAATGTAAAGAAAGTAGGATCTTTGCATTTTGCTGATAGGAATGCAAACCAGTATAGTCATTTTGGAAAAGAGTAAGTAGTATCTTCATAAAATTAACCATGAGCTTAGGTAGGACCCAATAATTCTATTCATTGGTATTTACCCAAGAGAAATTAAAATTATGTCTACACAGGCCTCCCTGGTGGCACATGGGTTAAGATGCAACCCATGAAGCTGTCCGCAGCCACTACAGCATGAGTTTGATCTCCGACCAGGGAATTACCCACATGGCACAGCAGACCTCTCCTGACTCGCCTGCTGCTCCCCTCAGCAGTGTACTTCAACCAACGTGCCTGTTTTGTTCCCTACTCTTTCTCTGGTGAATCCTCTCATCCCCCCACCACAGCACCTCTGGCCCGTACCCCAGCTCTTGTATGCATAAAAATAAAATAAATCTTAAAAAAAAAATGGGCCTCCCTGGTGGTGCAAGGGGTTAAGCACCGCACTATGAAGCAGTCAGCAGTTTCTGCAGCAGGAGTTGGATCCCTGACCGGCCAGGGAGCTACCCACATGGTGAAGTAGACCTCTCCTGTCTCGCCCGCTGCTCCCCTCAGAAGTGTATTTCATCAGTCCATCTGCCTGTTCTGTTTCTCACTCTGTCTCTGGTGAATCCTCTCACCTCCCTGCATCTCTGGCCTATACCCCAGCTCTTGTATGCATAAATAAATAAATCTTTTTAAAAAATTCTGTGAAAGACAAAACCATAATGTCAAAAGAGATTAGTGTTTTCTGGGGCTATTGCTCAGGAGAGGAGTTTCTATGTAAAGGGACAGGAGATACCTTTTAAATGAAATGAAACTATTCTATACATTCACTGTGGTGGTGGTTAAAATAACTGTATATAATTACCAATATTTATTAAACTGTAAAATTAACATATGTGAATTTTCTTGTATATAAATTATATCTCAATAAAGTTTGGAACATGAACAGTTGTTTCAAATCAGTAATTAACCATAACCTTAAAAGATATCAAATCTAACTCTCCTGTTAGGGGCTGAATTGTGTTTCCTTCAAAAAGATATGTTGGAGTCCTAATCCCCAGTACCTCAGAATATGACCTTATTAGGAAATATGATCTTTATAGAGATTCTCAAGCTAAAGTAAGGTATTAGGTGGACTTAATCCAGATGTCTTTATTAAAAAAAATCTGAACACAGAGACAGATGCACACAGAGGGACAATGATGTGAAAACACAGGGAGAAGGCAGCCATGTGAATAGAGGGATATACCTACAAGCCAATGGGAGCTTGAGGCTACCAAAAGCAATGAGAAAGGCAAGAAGCAGTTCCTTTCCCAGAGCATGACAGAGAGCATGGCTTTGCTATTACCTTAATTTTGGACTTCTGGCCTCCAGAAGTATGAGACAATAAATTTCTGATGTTTTATGCCATTCTGTGTGTGGCACTTTGTTTTGAAACCCCAGGAACCAACATACCCCCATTTGATACTAAACATACTGACCACAATAATCATCATGTTTGTTCAGTTTTGCCAAGGAACCTCTCTGGAAATATAACAACTCCCACTAGTAGAAAATATATAATAGCTCCAAGTAGCAAGTTATTTTCTTTAAACTTTGGTAGTAAGTGCCAAATTCTCTTTGGTATTGTCATTGGAAATAAATTGTAAGAGCCTATTCTTTATCATAAGCATTTTGTAAATACAAATCTGATCATCTAAACTGAACACATTCACTGTATTCAAGTTGCATGTATTCCTCCTCCTTCACTTTAAACATTCAAAGGAAGCTGGCAGGAGATCCAAGAAATGGGCACCCACCAAGTTCTCAACTCTCAAAAACAACATGTGCTTATGTGCTTGATAAACACATACCTGACCATGAATGAAATGTGAATGGGCTCACTTCCCCACTGGCTACTGCCAGGCTTCCATGCAAAGTTACTTAATGTAATTATAAGAATTCACTGAGGGCCTCCCCGGTGGCTCAGTGGTTGAGCGCTGGGTTGCGACGCTGCCCGCGGCGTCTGCGGCGCCGGTTCGATCCCCGGCTGCTCCCCGGCCACCAGATGAGGGTCCCACATGGCGCGGACCTCTCCTGCCGCCCGCTGCTCCCCTCAGCAGTGTACCTCGGTCCTTCTGCCTGCTCTGCACCCCGCTTTGGCTCTGGTGAATTCTCTCACCCTCCCATGCTTCTGACTGTACCCAGTGCATGTAAACAAAACAAACAAACAAATAAAAATAAAAAAAAAAAAAAAGAATTCACTGAGTTTACTGAATCCCCTTGAAGTTAAAACTTTGAAAGCAATTTTGTAGTAATTAATATATACTGTTCTTTCCACATATAGATGTATTGTTTTAAGTTTCAGTGTTTCTTTCAAAAAAAAAAAAGAAGAAGCTTGAGGGAAGGGGGGGCTCTCTCTACACTTCCACTCCCCTGGCCTCCACAAATTATCATGAACATGGAACATTTAGCAGCCACTAAAGATGGACTGGTGCATGCAGTGAACCTACCTCTTGTGCTGAAGGTAGGGCTCCCTCACAGGTGACACAGTGTTTCAGGTTAGCAGGATTTCCTGTGCCACAGGCACGGCAGATTACTTTCTCCTTGAAAACAGAGAATAAGAAATACATGTTTCTCTGAGAAAATAACTGTGCAAAGAAATAATCAAGCAGTCTTTTCAATTAGTCAGCAATTAGAGCCTATTTTAACAAGGGAATCCTGAAATTGGGTTGGTTTATTACCATATAACTAGTGTCAAATTGAACATACTTCTAAAAGAAACAAAACCCAAAATGGACATTTGGTTTTTTTCCTTGTAGAAAATGTGATGGTTGATTCTACCTCTCATGGCTTGAATGATAAACAGAAAGGTGCCCAAGCAGGAAAATTTTACCTATGTTCACAGGAAACTTAGTTCTTGGACTGAGGTTTACCTCATGAAGCTTTATGTCAAATATGAATTTAGTAATGCTCTGCAGTATCTCACTTGGAAAAGTGAAAAGACTGCCTTAAAAAACAAATAGTATGTGAAACTTTCAGAGTCAGCAACCTGGAGATAAGATGCAATACAGGAAAAAACAAAAGACAAAGAAATAATGGTTAGAACAGTCTAACTAGAGTTCAGCTACCAGAGGTTTGTTCATATCTGTTTAGTCACTGAACCATCCTGAACTATCAAGATACTATCTTCTTCAATCGCCAATGACCAGTGACACTTAAATGTTCCTTTCTACTGTAAGACCTTGTAAAGTTGGTACAACTAAAGAGAAAGATCAGGAAAAGATTTGCAACAAATCTAAACAATTCCGTGTACTCAACACAGTCACTGGAGTAAAACTTTCTTACAAACTTATACTTCCAGTGACACCAGGTAGGCCTGTGAAGTCCCCCTGCCTTCCAAAGTCTGCCTACATCCATTTTAGTAGGAGACGCTGAGGTCTTCCTCAGAACTTGAGACAACTCAGAAAGCCAACAGTGCCCATGCCAGAAAATTCCTAAAGCGCAGATACAACTGGCTGCTATCCAAAATGGCAGAGTTGCTCTCAAGGGAGACACTTCCTGGTTCCTACATTCTTCCAGGTTGCTTAAAGCCAGAGCATTACTGTGAGATTAGGACTGCAATCTTGCTGAAGAGCTTGCATCAGAAAAGATCTGATGAAACCCATCGAGAAGTGAAACAAATTCCCTGTCCATGTGTAAAAAAAATGAGATCAAACAAAAAATAATCTTGCTGTTTGTGCAGAAATACATAATCTAGAACGAGAAGACTAGAAATCAAGTAAACTACTTACTTATTCAGTCCAACAGGTTACCTCATGACCCTCACCTTGCAGGGCTCACAATTCAAAACTAGTTAAATGGCGCTAGGGTAAGGGTGGGGGCGGGGAGAGAGTACCTAATATCTAGGTATCCTCATTTTACCATGTATATGTATACTAAAATATCACTTTAAATATATAAAATGTTTACTAAAACCAATAAAATAAAAATTTAAACTAGCATATCATAACTTTGCCCAATCCAAACTGTCTAGTCACAACCCTGCCTTGCAAAATTCTTTCTTAAAAATTTTAATTAACTATTTTTTAGAGCAGTTTTAGATTCACATCAAAATTGGATGGAAATTACAGCGGGTTTCCTTATGCCCCTCATCCCCCCTTATACACATACACATTTACAATCTACCCCATTATTGATACCCTGTACCAAAGTGGTATATTTGCCATAACCAAAGAACTCTAGTGATGCATCATTATCACCCAAAGTCCATAACTTAACTTAGGGTTCACTATACCCTTCCCTGCTTTCTCCCTTCTGAGATACTACTTAGAAATACTAAGTCAAAGTTGTGGTCTGTCTTACTATTAGGTTCAATAAATATAGCTCTCTTAGTCAACAGGTTTTTCCAGTGGCTTTTGACACCATGCCATGGCACACATTCTTGAGAGCAGTGACCATGACCCATAGACAGAAATACTTTTATATTATAATCAATACACTCAGAGATTCATATGTGTTCACAAGGATGATTTGGTGGGATTGAAGACACCATCTAACCGCCTTAAAGAGGATGCTAAACGTCTATGATGAAGACTTTAAAACAAAGTCAGTACCCTTGTTTGCCATCTCATCCACACGTTTGCAACAAATCTAAGCAATTCAGTGCACTCAACATAGTATCTGGAGTAAAACATTTTCTTAAAAAGTAATTAAAAGATGAGACCAAGTGATCATTTCTCTCCCAAAAAATTGCATTTAAAAAGGATTATTCCTGTATTTAACGATACTAGTTATATAAAAGTTCTGTGTTCATCCTCAATTTGGATTTCACAAACTGAAGGAAAATGCTTACTTATACCATTTTACCTCGGTGCCTTTCTCAAACTTGGAAGACCTCTACATTTCAAAGACTGAGGGTGGCATGATATATATTGAACTTGGCTCACACAACTAACATTTACCCCAATTCCACCTGTCTGTAATGGTTCAAAGAGTTTGGCATGATGAGACCTTCAAACACCCTGAGTAATATAATAATAAGAACAGGTTCTGCTGAGATTGACAGAACAGTAACAATAACAGTGGCTTGAACAAAAGATTTCTCTCTCTCTCCTGTATTACTTTGGAGGGCCTCCCTGGTGGCGCAGGTGGTTGAGCGCCTCACTGTGAAGCTGTCTGCAGCCTCTGCAGCGCAGGTTCAATCCCAGCCAGCCAGTAAAATCCCACATGGCGAAGCAGACCTCTCCTGTCTTGCCTGCTGCTCCCCTCAGCAGTGTATTTCATCAGTCTGCCTGTTCTGTTCCCCACTTTGTCTCTGGTGAATCCTCTCACCCTCCCGCGCATCTGGCCTGTACCCTGGTTCTTGTATAAAAATAAATAAATATTTTAAAAAAAAAAAAAGTTTGGAGACAAGGCTCCCGGGCTATATTGTGGTTTTCTATGGTGACTAAAGTTTCTAAAGATTGGAAATAGTCATCTAACAAAAAAAAATTGTACATTTTCATTTCTCTAATTGTGGTCCAGTCAAACAAAATCTCATTTCTGTAGGTTTACATACCCTGGGACACTTTAGAACTTTTCACAGTGAAGGGGAACTTGGAGGTGGAAGAAAAAGTGGACTTATCTTTTCTCTCATAAAATTCAATACATTTTGACCATATAGAATTTACAAGGTCATTTTAGGAGGGTTATAGCTCTAACTGTACATTAAGCCCAGGCAATTCTCTTATTGTTAAAAATTCTTGCCATTTTTTTCTCTAGTCACATTTACTTGAAATTAAAAAGTGGGTGTCCAGGACTTTAAATCGAAAAATGCAGAAAAGATATAGTTGTATGTTCAATGACTCTGCCAAAAATTTTTTCACAGTATGATATGATTTGTTTAGCAAAGTTCTGATATTTAACTTTGTAATATATGTGACTAACTGAAGCTATTAGTTTCTACATGTTAAAGATCCATAATTAAAAGTAAATAAAACCATGAAACCACCTTAAGGACAAGATTATAAGTCAATATTAATTGCAACGTTCACATTTAAATGATGAAGTAAAAAATCTAAGTTAGCAATAGCGCAACTTGTTTTCAAATCTATTTTAGAAATTGGATAGAAAACATGTTTCTGCATATCCCTCTTCACATTATAGATTCTGTTAGCAAGTTAAACTCTTGGGTCACATACCTTTACAAAAATTGGAGTGGGTTTTGTGCACAGACACCTGATTATCAACTGTTAGCCAAATTCATTAGTGGAAGAAAGACATTTAATTTCTGTATTTTTTATTCATGTTTTGACCACATTTCATTACCTTCAGGTGGAGGCTGGCCTGTGGCTGCAGCTGTAGAGCAAGAGGAGCCTCACATACCACACAGATGGGTGTGTTCATGGGTACCAGGCTTCCACATTCTGCACATAACCCCATCTGCAGAAAGAAAGAGGTCAGGTTTGTCTTCAGAGGCAAAAAAATGGAAATTTTAAAGTAGATCTTAAAATGTAAGGTTAATTTGCTTTTGTAAAATGTTTTAAAGCTAATTATCTTTACTCCTATTCTTATTAAGAGTAAAAATGCATTTTATTACAGAAAACAGAAGTATAATAAAAAGAAAACTTTATTTTACAGCATGAGTCAGTGAGAAGTTGACAAATCCTTTTCCTGAAAAGCAATTACAGAGTTGGACAAAATTGCCAAAAAATCACCATTTCTGAATCAGAAGGTGGGCCAAACACAGGCTGAAAAGAATAGAACTTCAGATATGAACACGTCTTGTGGTTCTTGTATAAGGTTGCTGCCATCCTCCTTTAATCCTATCAATGTGATGGCTCCACTATGGCCGGACAGGCTATGAAAACCAGCAGTTGTGTGGCTCTTGATGGGCAGGCCTCACTTGACTTGGAGCACTGGAAAGGTGATGACATTAGTGGCAAGTAAACAGGTAGAGTCAGTGGCTCCACTAGCCTGACATCATGGTCCTGTTTGGGACAGTGAATGGATCAGCATATTATTCAAGGATTTAACAGGGAGTTGCAAAAACAGGAGGCTCAATAAATTCTCTACATATTCTTGGTTGACTGAAGGTTATGTGTATGTGCATCATAAACCAGAGTGGGCCGAAGTCACCCATATATTTCTGGCTGATGGAGACTGTGGAGATGCAGGAAAACTCAGGATAAAGTAAAACCTGGGTGATATTTAAAAACACCCTGAAATTTTAATGTTCTGCTCAGTCAACACATAAATTCATCAACCGAGAAAGGAAGCCTCACTGAGTCAGGTGTTTGAGCGCAAATCTTCAATTTAACATTAAGCTATGCAAGCCCAGGCTTAAAAATAAAAACAAACAAGCAAAAAACACAACCTGAAATCACTGCAGGGGAGATAATATGAAAGGTTTAATCCAAGGAAATAAAAAACAAAATAACAGTGCTAGGAGAAAAGTCAGAATCCAGAATCATTATAGTATTTTATCTAAAATGTTCAGAATTCAAGGGAAAATTATAAGACCAGCAAAAAAAAAAAAAAAAGTGCAACCCATAGCCAGGGGCAAAAAACAGTCCATACAAATTGTCTCTGAATGTCCCAGATACTGGATTTAACAAAGATTTCAAAATGACTATTATAAACCTGTCCAAAAAATGAAAAGAAGCCACAGTTAAAAAAAAAATTTAAAGGTATGATGAAAATTATCCAAAAAATGGGAAATCTCAATGAAGAAAAATAACAAAATGGAGCAAAATCAAAACCTAGAGTTGAAAAGTAAAGTAACTGAAATTTCAAAAATCTCCAAAGTGACTCAACACAGGCTAAAGATGACAGAAGAAGCAATTAACGTGAATACAGAGCAATGGAAACCTTCAAATTTCAAGAACAGAGGGAAAAAAGATTGAAGAAAATAAACACACCATAAAAGACCTGTGAAACAACACCAAGAATATCAACATATGTGTAATGAGAATCCCAAAAGAGGAAGAGGAAGAGAAAAGGGCAGAAAAAGAATCTGAAGAGATAATGGCCAAAAATCTTCCACATTTGAAGAAAAATATTAACCTACAGCTCCATAAATTCAATTAGTCTCAAGAAAAACAAACACAATGATATTCACATCTGCGTACATAGTCAAACTGCTATATGTCAAAAACAAAGAGAAAATCTTGACAGTAACAATAGGGGAAAAAGTACTTATACCATACATCAAAAACCATGGTGGCATGGTAGAATGATATATTCAGAAGGATTAAATTAAAAAAAAAACTTTCAAACAAGTTTATCTTTAATAAAACTATCCTTCAATAGTAAAGGTAAAATGAGCATTCTCAGATCAACAAAGAGAAAGAAATTGCGATCAGATGTGCCTTTTAGTAAAGGCCATCCTTCAGTCTGAAAATAAGTAACACTGGGTGATAACCTGAGTTTACAGAAATGAAGAAATAAGAGATAAGATATAAGAAGTATATAGGTAAATATAAATGCCTCCATAAGCATGTTTTCTCATTGTTAAGTGAAATAAGATGGTTTATAACACTTTTAGTTTATAACTATAGTGTAAAATGTGCTGATATAGAAAAGATAAGAAAATGGGGAGGAAAGGAAAATATATTGGAGCAAATTTTCTGTATTTTAATGGAGTTAAGTTATTCTGAAATAGACTGTGATATACCATTAGAACATAACTTTAAAGAATAATTTTTAAAAATCAACATAAGAATTAAGATGGTAAACTAAAAATTACTAATTTCACACAAAAAGGCAGCAAAAGAGGAACAGGGGAACAAAAACCATGAAATAAATAGAAAATAAACAAGACGGCATACATAAATCCAATCATATCAATAAAGACATTAAATGTGAACAGACAAAACACCGTACTCAAAGGCAGAAATCGTCCCACTGGGTTAAAACGCAAGACCCAACTATGTACTGTTCACTAGAGATATACCCTAAAATCAAATATACAAATAGGTTGAAAACAAAAGTATAGGAAATGATATGTAATATAAATAGTAACCACAAGGGAAATGGAGTGGCTACATAAATATCAGGAGAAACGGGATTTTAAAACAAGAAATATTACTAGAGATAAAGAGACCATTTATGGTTAAGTCAGTAAATCAGGAAGACAGCAGCTTTAAATGCACATGAACCTAACAACAAATACCCAGAATGAACAAAGCAAAAACTTGAGGAAGGACCTATCTCTCAACTGACCACTCTTAAGTTCCAATTTTTACTGGTGGACCATAATGGTGTTTTGGCTCTCCAAAAATCAGCATTAATTTAGAGCCAGTAAGCCCTAAAGGTTTGTGTATTTCCTTCTCCCCAGTGTATAGTCGCTCTACTGAAAACAGTCCCTTGAAAAAGACGGAGGAAGTTGCAACGATGCAGGGTCCATTCTCAAGGAGACCCTCTCTTATTTCAATCAAAGAGTTCTGGCTTTGTGAATGACTTAGGTGTGGAAACTGAGTGAGACACTTGGATGCTTCACTGTGGTGAACAGATTCTGGACAACAAGACCTAGGGTTTGTTTTTTTTTAAATCTCAGTTATCTAGACCAGCCTATATACTAGTAGGCTGCCTATCTACTTCATCCCTAGACAGCCAGGATCAGGTTCTGATTACGGATGCATCACTGCTGCCCTTTACTGTAGATGTGCCACCTTATCTTTTGCAGCTAAGTGCTGACACTTGACCCTGCAACTCTAGAATTCTATTAGCCCCCACTGACATCAGGAAGCCTAACTCCATGGTGGCATCACCCATGATCATGTCTGTCCTAAAGAGGAAAACAGCCATAGAACTTTTCAAGAATGCAGGTCCTCCTTTTACTAATATATCCCTCAAAGCTGAAGTAAAGGAAGAGTCTTTGGGGCCTTCTTGTGAAATGTTGTTGGGGTTTGAGGGAAAGGGCACAGAACACATAGGACAAAGCTATTCCACCATTCCTATCTTCCTCCACATGACGCCAGGTTAGTGTTGCTAGCCCAGTCTTACTAAACACGGGCCACTATTGAGTCCAAGTTTTAGTCAGCCAACAAAAAGCAGAGCCACCACTAACTGCATTAGTCAAAACATTAAATCCAGAAACTATAAAAAAAGCATGTAAAACAATAGTTTGGCCCAATTTAGTGTGTTATATCTTGCCCTTATTTAAAATCCACTCCTGCTACCTATTTCCCAAGATTCTGCCAATATATATTAGCAAAATCATACTCTTCTTGTAAGCTACCTCCTGCTGGATCACAGTGTGTGCCTGTCCCTCTCTGCAGCATGCTGGAATTGGACAATAGTAATGTGACAGGAGGGCTGTTATGGATCTTTAGGAGGATAACCATCCTCTTTGAAGTCCTCCGTCCCAGGTGAGGTTATCACAGAGATTTCAAACAAAGGAAGCTAGTATCCTCAGAAAGGCAGGTAAACTACATCTACTGGCAAGAAGGCTCTGAGTAATTTTCAGCTCAAGGTTGTCAGTTTAATCTGGGCCCAACCCAATACCTCCATCAAGTTTCAGGATCCCACTGTTTCCCAATGAGTGCCCTAACTTTCATATAAGACACATGGTGATAAAGTGAATTCAGCTGACGTTACAGCTTACCAACATATATAATTAAATTTTGTGTTTAATTTTGGCACTAGAACCCTGGATCTACAACAAATTAGAGTGTTAGAGCTACCATGGGTGCTCTCTAGTTTTCAGATTATGACTTAAGGTCCTGAGCAAGTCAGTTTCTGGGAATGTTCCTGTACTCTGGAGACTCCATTCATACCAAAGTCCTTGCAGTTATCACAATTGCCACTATATTAAGTGCAGCATCCACCTGGCCACTCAAGATACTTGCTTCTGTACACACTTCATCACTGTCAGTGACATGTGGTGATAGCGTGATTAATTGTCATGCCTCTTCATGCTGTCCATTACTGGCATCCTGTTTCCCACTAAAGCAACTCAGTGCTGTTCTTGAGCAAAGAGAAGACCAAACCACTCCCCAAATCCCATCTCTATAGGTCTGTCTCTTTCTTTTTTTTTTTAAAGATTTATTTATTTATGCATACAAGAACTGGGGTACAGGCCAGAGGTGTGGGGGGGTGAGAGGATTCACCAGAGACAGAGTGGGGAGCAGAGCAGGTGGATCTATTGAAATACACTGTTGAGGGGAGCAGCGGGCGAGTCAGGAGAGGTCTGCTACGCCATGTGGGTCACCTCCCTGGTCGGGAATCAAACTCGTGCTGCAGTGACTGCGGATTGCTTCATAGTGTCTTAACCCGTTGTGCCACCAAGGAGGCCCCTCTATAGGTCTATTTCTTTTCTTTTCTTTTTTTTTTAAGATTTATTTATTTATTTATACAAGCACTGGGTACAGTCAGAAGAGCGGGAGGGTGAGAGAATTCACCAGAGCCAGAGCGGGGAACAAAACAGGCAGACTTGACGA